CGGCAACTAAGCAACAGGGCAAATCAACATCCCCTCCAGTAATCTGGCGACTACTTAAGGAGGAGATCTCTTCGCCGGTTTTTACAAGACCTCCGAGCTTCCTCCTGGCCAGTAACGACCCGAGGGTTAGGAGACCTCTGTCTCCCAGCTATTCAGCACCGCCGCAGCTCCTGTCTCCGCTACCGAAATCTCCGAGTGACTTCTCTACGAAGGCAACGCAGACCCAGCCTGTTCCTAGAGTTCACCGAGGAACGCTGAGCTGACCTACGGTAGTTCACCGAGAAACGCAGAGCGACTTCACATCACAAAAGGAAACATCCACACCACCAGGATCACCAACAAGCTACACACCACCAGACTCACCTCCCGGATCCTACTCTCTCGACTTAACTCGAAGAAGACTTTGGGGACCGAAGAGATTTACTCAGACCAAACCGACAATCTTTTACAGAGAAAGATTAATATAGTTTTTGTACCACAAACGGCCCTTTTCAGGGCCACATAAATTGTAAACATAAAAACGGTCCTTTTCAGGACCAATTAATTTATAGAAAAATTAATAAATTTTATCAAACAAACACGCTACCATAAACCCTTCAATGGCGTTATCACAAATAGGTTTTGCAAGAATCATCTTTCTTGTTGCAATGTATTGTACAATCGATACAAATATTTTTTACGTAATCAGTTTATGCGGTAGTACTTACTTTCTTGCTTTTTCTATGAGCGAGGTGAAAAAATTCTCCCAGGTATACATCTTGATGGCTTGGATTCCACTAATAATCTCGTTCATTAATCGTACCCTCTCATCTGTCCTGATAGCAGTTCTTAATCTCAGCTCTGACGACTTCTTGCCTAGCCACCCTAAGGAATTTTAGAAATATTATACGATTAGAAGCAACTCTTATAACTTGTTAGTGATTTACCAAACGATATTTATTAATTGAGCAGAAAAAAGGCTCAGTAATTAGGGAAACTTAGCAAGAAACTCAACAATTTGGAAACATAGTAATGAAAATGTAAAATTTGGAAACGGAATTTTTTTCTCGTATTTAAAAAAATTTAAAAAGCATAGTTGAAAAGCAACAATTTACAATGTAAAGATTTCAGATTAAAGTTAATTTAAATTAATGATCGTTTATTAAAAATCTATTATTTGTTATTTTTTATTTATCAAAACTAATCGTAAGTAAGATTCTACCAGTAGACAGTTTAATTGAAGCAAAAAGACGATTTTCATTAGCGAAGTTACTTATAATTTAAAGTATTTAAACGCGCGCGCGCGCTTCTTAACTTTGCAAAAGGCACATGTACATACACATACAAGTTACTTTCAATTTAATAAGCTGATTAAATTGAAATTGATTTGATATATATGAGTACGTGTGCCTTTTATAAAGTTTAGAAATGTTTGCTAGAAACTATCAGAGCATTGACTGCTTCACCTTCAAAAGGGATGAACATCAGAAGAAATGCGATACCGAAAATAGATGATATTTCGATGTCGATCAAATGGAATGTAATGTATGTGATGATGATGGTCTCTCTCCAAAGGTCCGAGACACAAATAATGGAGAAATATGATACTGACGTCGAATCTATTGACGTCGTTAGATAGCAGATTGACTGC